GGTTAATCGACGAGCATTTTATATTTCAAAAAAAAATATTTCCATCGAAGAAAAGAATTCTTGAAATCTTCAAATCACAAAATTTCATTTATTATTGTGTTGAAATCAAAACCATAATAATATATGTCACCGTTAGTGCTATAAAACTTGATACGCCTTGTAACCTTTCAATTTCTTTTAAGATGAAGGTTAGGATCAATAACTTCTTAAATAAAACATGTTGATATTTTCAAATAATAGAAAGTAATACAATGCACAATCGATCGACCTCATTCGGAATATATTTTTGAATAATAGAAAGTTTTTTTTTTTCTTTTCCATACCCAACAAAGAGGTCAAGGATGTGAACGAGGTCATGGACATGACAGAAATTGTAAAAGATCTGAAATATAATACTATATTTACTCCTATGAATGTTATTATAATTCTAATAGATGATAAGATAAATTTTGTTGAGAAAAGAAATAATGAAAATCAAATTTTACTGATGACATATAATAATTTAAAAGATTATCCATCTATGACATGGTATTTAGATACAGGAGTCTTAAATCACATGTATGGCATTAAAAAAATTATTTTCAAAAATAGATACAAGTTATTTTGGAAATATTACATTTGGTGATTTGTAAGAGGTAAAAGTAAAATTCTTCTCGAACTTAATAATGGCAAAGAATTATGTATTTCAAATACTTATTATGTTCATGTAATAAATAATAATAATCTAAGCTTGGGGTAATTAATTGAAAAAAGTTATTAAATTGAGATAAAAGATATAGCTCTCTCAATTCATGATAAGAATAAAACATTGATATTATGAAAATGGCAAAGAATAGAATATTTCCTCTACATTTTTATATTTTTGATCGGTCAAATTATTTTAAAACTAATATTGAGGATATTCCTACATTATGATATCTTAAATATACTCACTTAAATTTTGAGGCTTTGAAACTTCTACATATGTATAATATAGTGATATGAATGCTAAGAATTGATTGCCCATTATAATTATATGAAGTATGTGTCATGGGCAAGCAAGAAAGAAAGTCTTTGAAAGTCAGAAGGACAAAAAGAGTATAACATCGGCTTGATTTGGTGCACTCCGATGTTTGTGGCCCTATCAGCCCAGTATCACTTAAAGAAGCAGGTATTTTCTTATCTTTACTAATGATCATCGTGGCTGGATTTACATGTTAAAAGAAAAAAAAAATTTAAAGTAAAATTAAATAATTTAAAGATTTGGTCGATAAAGTAGTTGTAATATTAAATATTTAAGAATGGATAAGGGTGGTGAATATATATGTCAAATGAATTTGAAAATTTTTATAGAAATAATAGAATTCTACATCAATTCATCATGTTATATACATCTCAACAAAATAATATATTAGAAAGAAAAAATAGGATTCTCCTTAATATGGTCTGATGCACATTAAAGGAAAGAAAAATTCCTAAAGAATTTTGGAGAAATATTTTGACTTGTGTAGTTTATTTGCTTAATAGGTTTTCGACAAAGCGAATTGATAATATTTACAGAAACTAAAAGTTGATTATTTGAGAATTTTAGAAAGTGTAGCATTTGCCAAGATACCAGAAGAAAAGAGAACAAAACTGAAGGATAAAAATCATAAATGCATTTTGTTAAGTTATCAAAAGAATTTCAATGGTTAAAACTCTATTCTCGTATCACAAATAAAGTTATGATGTCAAGAGATGTTAAGTTTGATGAGTAACAGATTTGGAATTGGCAAAGTGATGAGCAGCATAAGAAAGCTATAACTTCATAAGAGGATAATATAATACAAGCAAGCACCGAAGTGGCTTTGCCGGAATTATCACCTAGATCTGCTAGGTTACATGATTCAAGAAGTCTGATTATAAGAAGGATAAGACCGATTCAAGAGTTATATGATGTGACTCAAAAGATTGATATTAACAATGATGAATTTTTTTATTTTATCTTTTTGCATGATATGATCCATTAACCTTCCAAGAAGCTTATAGAGAAGAAAAATGGTGACAAGCTATGAACGAAGAAATTCATGTCATTAACAAAAATAATGCATAGGAACTTACTACACTTCCTGAAAACCATCAAGTGATTGGTGTTAAGTGGATCTTCAAAATAAAAAGAAATACAAAAGGAGAGGTGAAGAAATACAAGGCCCAATTAGTTGCAAAGGGATGCAAACAATAATATAAGATTGACTATGAAGAAGTATTTACACTAGTTGTTCAACTAGAGAATGTAAGATTACTTATCTCTTTAGCAGTTTAATTGAAATAAAAAATTTTATAAATGGATGTCAAATTAGTATTTCTTAATGAAATTCTTGAAGAAGAGATATATATTCAACAATCCCATGGTTTTATTATTCATAAATAAGAAGATAAAGTATATAAGTTAAAGAGAGCTTTTTATAGACTTAAACAAGCCCTACTCGAATTATTAGATATATGCTTATTTTATTCAAAATAATTTTTCTAAATGTCCACATGAACATGCTCTCCGTACAAAATCTAACTCTCTTGAAGATATCTTATTTGTATACATGTATGTAGATGATTTAATATTTACAAGCAATAATAGCTTTTTATGATTAAAGATTTTAAGCACTCGATGAAAAAGAAATTTGAGATAATCAACTTAGGGTTAATGACTTATTTTATTTCACAAGAAAATTATGCATAGGAGGTTCTAAAGAAGTTTTCTACAGAAGATTGTCATCCTACATATACCCTTATTGAATATGGTACCAAGTTGACTAAGAAAGTTGAAGGTAAATATATTAATCCAACTTATTATAAAAGTTTAATTTGATGTTTAAGATATTTGACATGCACTCAACCCGATAAACTATTTGGAGTTGGTTTAATAAGTAGATATATGGAAGCTCCTAGGATATCACATTTAAATATCGTTAAAAGAATTTTATGATATATTAAAGGAACAATTGAGTATAGAATGTTTTATTCATCATCTTAAAGGTTGGAGCTCATTGGATATAGTGATAGTGATTAGGTTGGAAGCTACGATGATTGAAAAAATATATTTTATTACTTGGTCTTCAAAAAAATAATAGATCATTACTCTATCAAGTTGCGAAGCAGAATATATAGCAGCTTCTTCTAGTGTTTGCCAAGCAATATAACTAAGAAGATTACTCTAAGAACTTTATATGTTATAGGAGTAGTTATCTAAGATTTATGTTAATAACAAATCAGCTATTGTCTTAACCAAGAATATAGTCTACCATGAAAGATCAAAGTATATCGACACAAGATTTATTTTATAAGAGATCATATCAAAAATAAATAAATGGAGCTACATTATATCAAGACAGGTGAACAAGTGTTCGATATACTTACAAAACCTCTCAAATTTAAAATATTTTAATAACTTCGAAAGAAACTTTACATGTTAGATGAAACAAGTTTAAGGGGGGAGAATGTTAGAATTAAACTTATTATAAATATCATAAAGAGATTAATTTCATCAAAAGAAAGGTTCATTGCACCATTAAATGTCTATGAAAGGACAAATCAAATTAGTTATTGATTCTTAAAAAAAATAGTTCATTTTGAATATAATTAATGTAATGTATCTTCGGGGACTATATAAACCCCATATGTTAGGTCATAAAATACATAGAGTTTCTGAAATTATAAAAAAAAAATTTAAGAGAAATATAGAAGATTTAAGTTTATCCTACTCTTCGTCTGTTCTTCCTATCAAATTCAACACTCTCTACTTCTCGTCATGCAACACCACCTTGCGCCAACCACCGGTAATGGCGAAAGCAAGACGAGGCCTCACTTCGTATTGGTTCCCTTCCTGGCGCAGGGGCACATGATCCCCATGGCCGACATGGCCGTCCTCCTCGCCGAGCGAGGTGCCCGCGTCAGCATCATCACCACCCCCGTCAACGTTGCCAGGACCGAGGCCGTCGTCCGTCGCGTCAGGCGAGCCGGCATCGCGGTCGAGTTCGTCGAGCTTACCTTCCCTTGCGCCGAATCTGGACTTCCCGAAGGATGCGAGAGAATCGACCTGCTGCCTTCTTATGAATTGTTGAAACAGTTTCACGACGCTACCGGCCTTCTCCGTCACCCCCTTACGCAGCACCTTCGAGCCCAGCGGCAACCCCCGACGTGCATGATCGCTGACTCATGTAATCCTTGGACGAAGGGAGTTGCCGAGGAGCTCCGGATGCCATATCTCCTCTTCCACGGCCCCTCCTGCTGGAATATGCTGTGCGCACGCATGATCCTACGGCACAAGATCTACGAGCAGATCGGTGACCCGTTCGAGCCTTTTGACGTGCCCGGCTTGCCTCACCGGCTCGAGATCAGCATGGCCCAGACGGCGTGGTTCATCACCATGCCGGGGTGGGAAAAGTTCCGCGAGGAGGTCTGGGAGGCGGAGACGGCCGCGGATGGGTTTGTGATCAACACGTTTGAAGCCTTGGAGGCCACATACGTCGAGTGCTACAGCAGAGACGCGAAGGGGAAGAAGGTTTGGACGATCGGGCCACTGTCGCTGTCGAACCAGGATCCGGACGACAAGGCCGCGAGAGGGAACAAGGCGTCCGTGGACAAACATCGAATCCTTCTCTGGCTCGACGAGAAGGCCCCGAGGTCTGTCGTCTATGTCAGCTTCGGCAGCATCGTCCGCCACAGCCCGGCTCAGGTACTGGAGATAGGGCGTGGGCTGGAAGCATCCGGCCAGGCCTTCCTTTGGGTGATCAAGGAGGTCGATGCGTCGTCCCCTGAGGTGGAGAAGTGGCTGTCTTGCGGCGGCTTCCAGGAGAGGGTCGGTGACAAGGGACTTATCATCAAGGGATGGGCGCCTCAGGCGGCGATCTTGTCGCACCCGGCGGTCGGAGGATTCGTGACACACTGCGGATGGAACTCGGTGGTGGAGGCGGTGTCGGAGGGCGTGCCGATGGCGACATGGCCTCACTTCAGCAGCGACCAGTACATTAATGAGAGGCTGATCGTGGACGTTCTGCGAACCGGAGTGGCGGTGGGCGTGACGGTGCCCGACGCCCACGTAAGCGCAGAAGAGATAGAGAAGGCGGTCTTGAGACTGATGGACGGAGGCGAGAAAGGAGAAGAGAGACGGGAGAGAGCAAGAGAGCTGGGGAGAAAGGCCAAGGAGGCAATGGAAGTAGGAGGCTCATCTTATGCCAACGTGACACAGTTGATCCATTATGCATCGCACCATGATCAAGCACGAGGATGAGGAAGAAGCTATTCGCATGTGTCCTGTTTTCGTGCCAACTAAAAATAAGCGTTCTATGTTGAGATCGATATGTCTTTTTAGAAAGTTCAAACAAATAATCCTTCTGCTTATCGTAAAATTTGACTTACGAGTTTGGTTAATCGATGAACGTTTTATATTTCAAAAAATATATATATTTCCATCGAAGAAAAGAATTCTTGAGATCTTTAAATCACAAAATTCTATCTGTTATTGTGGCAAAATCAAAACCATAATAATATATGTCACCGTTAGTGCAGTAAAACTTCATACGTGTTATAACCTTCCAATTTCTTTTAAGATGAAGGTTAGGGTCGATAACTTCTTAAACAGTTTAGGATAAGACATGTTAACATTCTCATAGAAAGTAATACGATGTGACACTCGACCGACCTCATTGGGAATATATTTTCAAATAATAGAATTTTTTTTTTCTTATCCACACCCAATGAAGCTCATTGGCGAAACCACCCATGTTATCGATGATGTTTGGATTAGCATGACTCGATATAGATCAGTCTATGTAACATATCTGACTTGGGCAAGCGAGTAGCTTAGGCATCTACTAGTGATTGACTTATGTAAACAATAAGGTCAGATGGAGTATCCGACAATTCAAGTTGAAAAAATAAGAGTTTGGATGATGGGCTTGACCCAAGGAAACATTATATAGTATCGATAGAATATTCTCCTTTGAATTCTATAATGTAATCGTGGCTGCACTGTTGGCTAAATCTTGGGCTGAGCCGTAAGCGATCTCGGCTCTGCACGCTTTCCTATCATAATCTTCTTTTTGGTTAATGACACATAACGAAGAACTCTGCTACAGTGGAAGACAAAAGTGTCCCAGTCCTAAACGATGGAAGCTAGGAAAACAAGGATCGCCAACTTCCATGGACATGCTAATTACATGACTCGTTTCTTCAATGCTCATCCACATCCTTTCCCATTCAAGAAACGAGCCACGATGGCACGCTTTCACAGCCAAGCCAACTCTCAATCCCCTCTAAATCTTTCCAACCAACAATTAGGTTGATGCTCTCGTCGCATCGACTCAAATCGCATCCTCCTCATCCTGTATCTTTGATTCAATTAGCATCGATGCCAATTCAAATCCGACCCCCAAACATACGCTTTTAGAAAGAGAAACATCGTGTAATTTTGGAATGCTGTGATGTGATCGATCATGTGAATAGAAAAAAGATTTATTCCATCATTTTTTCCCCTTTTTGTCGAATAATTTGGGTGAAATTGCAACGGTTGGAATCAATCTCGAGCCTCGATATGATTGATGGCGACGTGGCTAAGACCCAGAGATAAAGATGGAATGGATTGGAGGGGAATAATTTGTTGCCGACATCATATTATGAAATCTCTACCTCGACATATTTGAAGCATACCTTTTATATGTTTTTGAGATCAGTATAAAACAACAAATTTGGCACCTTTGTGGGAAGAGAATAGAGAATGTAAACTATGTCACGTATAGATAATTATTTAACGTGAAACATGTGAGGCTTTGTAGTCATAGTATTAGGGAGGGAGGCGGGTGAAGTTGGACCACTACTCCATAGGTTGTTCGATTTTATGATTTTAAATTAATTAATTAAAATATATTAAGATTTTAATTAGATTCTGTTGTGCAACTTCACGTGGTGACAAGTTGTCACCGTGACTTGGTCCAATCCGAATGCGTTAGATCGTCTGCGTGGCTTCCTGGCTTCTTGGCTGGAGAGGGTCGATATTAAGTTGGGTGAGGACGTTATTTGTCAAGTCGATCTGAAGTTGAGCTAGGAGTTACTTTTCCTTTCTTATTGGGTTCCAGCATATAGGCTAAAGTCGGAAGGGGAAATACTGATTCGACTCCTCTAAAGCTTAAGTTAGTATTGTGGTGTTGAGGTGAGTTTTAGTATGTTTGAGTGCTCAGAGATCGACCCCCTAGCGTTGACCAAAGAGTCAGCCTATTGGGAAACCTGATTAGAGCATCACATATGCAGTGAAAAACATAAAATAAAAAACATATATTTCTAAAAAAAGTGTATCTCATCGTCGTGTGAAAATTGATGTGCTTAATAAAATACAAAACCGAAACCGCAAATATCAAGTGAGATTTATTACATAGGGAGATTGTATATCCCTAAAAAATCCTAGATCTATAGGAATAGATAAATGAGGTCAACTACCCTCCTCTCTAGTGATAATTCACATGATAAATATGGTGAAAACGATCCTCAAATTACTGAATGATCTTCCTCTCTACGCGGACCACATGATCAAGAAGGGGCTGGCCTTCTTGTTGTCCACGTGCCCTCAATTGGGGTTGTTGAATAAGGAAGAGAGGAGAGGGAGGAGAATAGGAGGGGCAGTCAAGAGGTAACTATCCTATGCTATCTTTTGGGCCCTCATATTTATAGAGGTTCCTACCACTTAATCTTAATGGATCCTACCATATTGGGTACTGGATCTCTATCTAGTTATCCAAACATCTTGGATCAGTGGATCTCTACCTAAGAATCTTGCATTGGCTCTTATTAGATCTTACCTATAGGATCTAATAATTCAGGAGCTTACTGGATATCCAATAAAATAGGGGCTCCAACAAATATCTCATATTCGAACCTCTACTCATCATAACACCTACCATATGTGTGTGACCCTCTATACCCAATATCGAACTGGCCATGAGTCGTACCTGTCAGAACTTCTTCTGACTTAGTGAATTATTATCTTCATAATAATTCACACAACTCATCAACTATAAATATACTATGCCACTACACCGTAATCCTCAAATGATATAGGGAATCCAATCCATTGGACATATATATCCTTAGTTATCGTGTATCTATAGTTCTTCATCCATCTAATATCCCAGAAATCATATATTATGTATGGTGTTATCAGACCCATACGGAATATACTCGAGTCTCGATATAATCAGATTCTCCCAAAGAACTCCTCTCTTAACCCAACCATGACTAAGGATTTGTTTAAGCAAGAACACATAGGATACTTCCAATGATCGGTTATGCTAGATTTGAAACTTCGCGAACTATAAGTCCGATATCAAAGAGTGGAATACTTATACAGGATATCCTTGGTGTCTCAAGTCTAAGGACCAAGTACACAATGAAGACCATGGAATCGTTGTTTGACAATGAAGTATCATCAACCATTCAATATTCTATAAGTGGATCAATCATTGAACTCATTCTCCAATGAGTACATGCATTGTATCCCTAATGTCTCCACAACTATGAAACCAGTCACCTCAATCATATGGATGGGTATACAGCACACTAGTCTATCCGATTATTACGATGTCCCTCTAGCGTATTTATTTAAAAGTAAATCAATTTTATTATTATGATCTCGATTTGATTTTCATTGCACTGATCCATGGACATTACAATATATGCAATATGCAATATAAAATGAGAAAATACTAATAAATAATAATAAATAAAAACACTGTATAGCATGTTGCACGTGTCATCACTCACGTGATTGACTTGCAAAGCATCTATAACTAGCATGACCTTTATACCTGTCATGAGGTCAGTTGTACGGGATCTGTTAATGGTCGTTGATCCCCCCCGCAATCGGCCCATATGCTCCACACGACGTGGACCGGTTTGGAAGGTTTCATGTTGTGTGACATTGCCTTGTACCGCTTCGAATGGTTTTGTTGGGGTGGCGTCGTCTCATATGACCCCGAGCGACACGGGTACAACCTATCGTTGCACCATAGTTCGACGTGCCATTTTAGCACGCATGCGCCACGTCGATTTCAAGGTGACAGTTGACTGTCGTCGCATGGGTGGTGACGAAATATGCTTTATCACATTATATGTTAATATAAAAAAATTTATTTTTGTTAAAATTCTTTAGAATAAACAATAAGGAACTCTCTAAAGATTTTGAAAGAAAGTAAACTCTTCTTGATCTTCTAATATTCAATTATAGAGATTTATTTAAAATAAACTATTTTGAATTTATAATACTTAACTTCTATCTTGATATTAATTTTTTATAGAATAATTTTATTTATTGAGCATCAAGCTCTGTAGTTTTGACATGAACGACGACAGCAAAACGAAGCCTCACTTCGTGTTGGTTCCCTTCCTGGTGCTGGGCCATGGCCCCATGCCAACACGACCATCCTCCTCGCCAAGCATGGCGCCATCGTTAGCTTCATCACCGCCCCTATCAATGCTGCCAGGACCGATGCCGTCATCAGCCAAGCTAAACGAGTCGGCCTACCGACCGACTTCGTTGAACCTCCTTTCCCTTGCACCAAAGTGGGGGTCCCCGAGGGGTGCGAGAACGTCGACCTGCTGCCTTCTATGTCATCGCTTCAACCATTCTTCACGGCCACCAGCGTTCTCCATCAACCCCTTAAGCAACACTTTCAAGCCCAGCGGCAAGCCCCGGGGTGCATGGTCGCCGATTGTTGCAACCCTTGGATGAGGGAGTTCGCGAAGGAGCTCCGGATGCCATATCTCCTCTTCCACGGCCCCTCCTGCTTGTACGTTCTATGCTCACATATGGTCCTGCAACACAAGATCTACGATCGGATTGATGACCCATTCGAGCCTTTCGACGTGCCTGGGTTGCTTCACTGGCTCGAGATTAACTTGGCTCACCATGCCGGGCTAGGAAAAGTTCCGCGAGGAGGTTCGGGAGGCGAAGATGGTTGCTGACGGGTTCGTGATCAATACATTTGAGACCTTAGATGCAACATACATTGAGTGCTACACTAGAGAGGTGAAAGGAAAGAAGGTTTGGATCTAGAGGACAAGGCCGCAAGAGGGAACAAGGCATCCATGGACAAACGTTGAGTCCTACGCTACCTCGACAAGAAGGAGCCGAGGTCTATTGTCTATGTTGGCTTTGACAGCAACATCGGCCACAGCACAACATAGCTAATGGAGATTGGGTGTGGGCTGGAGACATCTGGCATGCCCTTCCTTTGGGTTATAAAGGAGGTCAAGTCATTGTCACTAGAGCTAAAGAAATTGCCGGCCTATTTTCAAGGGAGGATTGGTCACGACGGATTATAAGAAGTTATCATGGAGAGTTTTCATCATGTTTTAAATAGTTCTACCTAAGAGACTCATCATATACCAAGTTATAGTCATAGGCATAGTTATTATACCTAATTTAATCATAGGTGAAATGATAGAGTGAGATAGTTATTACACCTAAGGACATTCTTAAGCTGATACATCAAGATAACTTTTAAAGCTCATCAAATATGATTACGGTAAAACTTCATGTCTTTCATCATGAGTTTAAAACTTCAGTGCAAGATTTAGTTTTCAAGTAACTAAAATTATTACTAAAATGAAATCTTATGGTGAAAATTATCATGATCATATAATTATTATAAAAGTTTTGAGAAGTTTAACTCTAAAATTTGATTATGTTGTTGTTATAATTAAGGAGTCAAAAGATTTATCTATCTTTTCATTTTATGAATTAATGAGTTCTTTGTAAGCACATAAATCAATGTTGAATAGGTCACTTGAGAAAAATGAATAAAAAATATTTCAGATTAAGGGAGAGTTTTCTACTTGAAAAAAATAATAAAAAAATTAAACATGTCGATTTCATGATAGAGGACACTTTAACGAGCGCAATTAACAAAAGCAATCAAATTATGATAAAAAAAGTTATAATATTAAAATTTAATATCATTATTGTAAAAAATTTGATCACATAAAGACATATTGTAAGAAAAGAGGAAAACAAGTAAGATGCGGAGGAAAATAAAGAAAATAGTAAGTTATTTACGACTCATTCACAAGTTAATGAAATCTTAAATGATATTTAATTTTTGGATAGTAGATGTTCTAATTATATGTCAGACATAAGATCAATGTTTAAGGATATTAATGAAATTCACAAGTTGAAAGTTAGACTTTGAGATAACAAGCAAATCCGAATAGATGAGAAAAGAACAATTGATGTTGATAGTATCATGAGTATCGTCAATTGGTAAGTCGGCATAATTGGTTCATAATTGAAGGTGCCGGTTCATCCTTGTGATATCCTTCGTGCTAATGTGGGAGTGCTGACACGACAAACCAGTGTAGGAGGTCTACAAGGGAGGTGGTTCACAGGGGTTGATCTGGCTTTAGAGCAGTGAGACTAGGTAGAGGTATTGAGATCTGCTCAGCTGTGAGATCCTCTCTTATGATGGATAGGTTGTCCTCTGATTAAAGGGTTGCCTCATGGCTACGAGGCTACGTCTTGGCAGCAGAGTTATCTCTTGACAAGTCTACATTGGGGCTTCTCAGCTTGACCCTTCCGATGCTTAAGTCAACGAAAGGCGAAGGAAGAGAAATGTAGCAATATCAGTTACGTAAATAAGAGAGTAGAGAGGCTATTACTTGCTTAGCTCCCTTGGCGCTTACTCAAGAGTAGTTTTTATACCTCTCTAGGGATCGACTATTTGTAGGTTGTTAGTGTTCGTCAATATTTTAGGTGGATGGTTCATTTGTTCTGATCCCGTGTTGTGTGGGGCTGTCTCCTCACTTTCGGGTGCCACTTTGTGCGATTTCAAGTGGCGTGGATTCTGCTTTGCGTTGCTTTTGAGTTGGGTGGCGTCGCTTCGGGATACAGTCATTTTTTAGTCAGGCTATACCGTTTTGTACTACTTTGAGATGTGTGCATGACTCTAGCTAGGGGGTGCCACGTGGGGTCTAAGGTGGCTGCCAGTTGGGTGGTACCAGAATATCCTCTATCAAAGGTGAAGACAAACCAAGGGAAGGTAAAACACTTTGATAATATTTTCTTTATTCCTAATTTATCACATAACTTGTTGAGTATTGGATAATTGATAAATGATGGATATTCAATTATATTTGATGATTTTTCATACAGTATTAAAGATAAAAAATATGATCTGATTACAATAAATGTTTATATGTAAAACAAGATTTGTCTACTTAATGTTTCAAATATTGAAAAGTATGCATTTATTGTAACAAATGAGTTTAATTTATGATATTTAAGATATAGATACATTAACATTAAGGGTTTAAGGTTGTTAAATAAAAAAAATGATTACATAATTATTATACTTAATGTATATGAAAAATATATTTATGACAAAGTAAGAAACTATTTCCCCGGAAAAGAATCAAGAGTATCTAATTGTCTTAAATTAATTAATACCGATTTATATGGACCTATCAATATAAAATTATTTAGTGGAAGTCGATATGTTTTATTGTTTATTAATGGTTATAACTACGCTATGTTTTCTAGAACTGAATTTAAAATATTTAATAATTTTTAAAAATTCTAGACACTTATAAAAATACAAATGGTAGATGCATAAAGGCACTTGGAACAGTAAGCAATCAGTTTTTGACAAAGAAAGCATCTTCTAAATCAGTTTTTGACAAAAACAGTTGTAACAACAGTTTATTTATTAAATATTTTATCAAAAAGAGTTATTATGAATCAAACTCATTTTTAGGCTTGGTATAATATAAAGCCAAGAGTAAGCAATCTAAGAATTTTTTTGTTATATTACTTATGCTTTGGTAAATTCATAAATCTAAAAAATATATCTTAATTGGTTATTTCTTATAATTTCTTATAATAAGATTGTATAATCTTATTAGTAACAAATTTATCATTAACTAAAATATTATATTTGATGAAAGAATAAGTTAGAATTGGAAGATCAATAAATATGAAAAATAATTTCAGATTTCAACATAAAATGATTTCTCAAATAAACCCCTCTAGAAAAATTCAGATCACTAACAAAAATTTATGATTCAATATTTGCTTTGTTTATTTTAGATCTTATAAGCTTTGAAGAAACAGTTAAAAAAGAGATATGATGCCAGACAATGAAGTAGAAAATTAAGTAAATTGTATTAAGCTATGCACACGAAGGAGAGATTATTATATGACCCATCTCAAATAGATTGGGAGAAGTCAGATGGCCTCAAGGCATTGTTTCAGGAGCCAAAGGCAATTGATCCATTGGCTACTGCATAATACAATTTATTTATGTTGACCCATTCAATCTATGGTGATCACTAGCAATCAAGCATTTGAAATCCATGGTTTGGATCCTCTCCTATTGTTATTATATAGATTACAAAAATATTTATGGTGAAAATTATTATCATTTTTAATTTTCATTTAATTGATCAAACATTAGAACAAAATGAAAATAAAACCTTTTTCCAATCTTTTATTATCTTATCATAATCTTCAGCAAATTTTATTATCTAAATCTCACATAAATTTTTTTTTGGTTTTTTAGTTAGAATAGTTAATATAATTATTACCATAATTGTTATTTTTTACAATTATTGAGACAAAGAGATATAGATTAAGGAGATATCTCATATTACTAACATACAAATTTTTATTTTTTTTACATAGGATAATTAATATAATTATCATCATAAATGTTATTTTTATAATTATTTAGCCCGCTCATTGGGAGGAAGACCATGGACCAATTGGAAATTTTTTACATAGACACTAAGTTAACTCATTATTAAACTTCTAATACGGTACTCTTATAAAAAAAATTAAAAAAAATTTATATATAAAGAAGTTTTTATGTGAGATGGAAAGCGATGATGGAGAGGATAGTACAGAAAACATGAAAAAAATGATAAACTGAAAGATGATAAGAAAAGGAAATTTATGATCTTTCTGTTCTTGGCTGTAACACAATTTCTTTATATTTTCTTTCCACATATAGTAATGAAAATCTTGTAGAAATTGACTTCACCCATACCATCCCGTTTCCATTTAGAAATTGACTCAGATCTCGATGGAGACGACTTGCAAATAGAATAAGACATTAGAGATCTTCTAGCAGACTTTGTCTTGTACTCGGTCAAAGATTCCCTCGTTAAAGATGCTACAGCTTCAAGAAAACTCTGGGTTCTCTTATCGTCTAAACAATTGGGCGTTGTTTCGGTATTGAGACTGGGACAAACCCCCGATGCAGTGAGTGCCCATGAGATCCACAACGCCGTGGCGATCATGGCAACAAAGAAGGCAGGTCTGACAACCCACGAGCTTACTGTAAGATTGTCGTCAAACACGGTGGCCTCCATGTTCCTCTCGCTACCCATAACTTCTTCTCAACCTTCTCCTCAGTTGATTTTGCTTTGCCACAGTTTATGTTCACCGTTTGCCAACGACAGCCGCTCACTCGGTGGTCAACGCATCTCACTCTACATATGCGGGTGTGTATGTCAGCTCTGAGTCGCATCAGGGCTCTCTAGTTCTCGTCATGCAACACCACCACGCGCCGACAGCCAGTAATGGCGAAAGCAAGACGAGGCCTCACTTCGTGTTGGTTCCCTTCCTGGCGCAGGGGCACATGATCCCCATGGCCGACATGGCCGTCCTCCTCGCCGAGCGAGGCGCCCGCGTCAGCTTCATCACCACCCCCGTCAACGCTGCCAGGACCGAGGCCGTCGTCCGCCGCGTCAGGCGAGCCGGCATCGCGGTCGAGTTCGTCGAGCTTCCCTTCCCTTGCGCCGAAGCGGGACTTCCCCAAGGGTGCGAGACAATCGACCTGCTGCCTTCTGACGAATTGATCAAACAGTTTCTCGACGCCACCGGCTTTCTCCGTCACCCCCTTACGCAGCACCTTCGAGCCCAGCGGCAACCCCGGACGTGCATGATCGCTGACTCATGTAATCCTTGGACGAAGGGAGTTGCCGAGGAGCTCCGGATGCCATATATCCTCTTCCACGGCCCCTCCTGCTTGAATATGCTGTGCGTACGCATGATCCTACGGCACAAAATCTACGAGCGGATCGGTGACCCGTTCGAGCCTTTTAACGTGCCCGGCTTGCCTCACCGGCTCGAGATCAGCATGGCCCTGACGGCGTGGTTCATCACCATGCCGGGGTGGGAAAAGTTTCGCGAGGAGGTCTGGGAGGCGGAGACGGCCGCGGATGGGTTCGTGATCAACACGTTTGAAGCCTTGGAGGCCACATACATCGAGTGCTACAGAAGAGAGGCGAAGGGGAAGAAGGTTTGGACGGTCGGGCCACTGTCGCTGTCGAACAAGGATCCGGACGACAAGGCCGCGAGAGGGAACAAGGCGTCCGTGGACAAACATCGAATCCTTCGCTGGCTCGACGAGAAGGCGCCGAGGTCTGTCGTCTATGTCAGCTTCGGCAGCATCGTCCGCCACAGCCCGGCTCAGGTACTGGAGATAGGGCGTGGGCTGGAAGCATCCGGCCGGGCCTTCCTTTGGGTGATCAAGGAGGTCGATGCGTCGTCCCCTGAGGTGGAGAAGTGGCTGTCGGGCGGCGGCTTCCAGGACAGGGTCGGTGACAAGGGACTTATCATCAAGGGATGGGCGCCTCAGGCGGCGATCTTGTCGCACCCGGCGATCGGAGGATTCGTGACACACTGCGGATGGAACTCGGTGGTGGAGGCGGTGTCGGAGGGCGTGCCGATGGCGACATGGCCTCACATCAGCAGCGACCAGTACATTAATGAGAGGCTGATTCAGCGAACCGGAGTGGCGGTGCGCGTGACGGTGCCCGGCGCCCACGTAGGCGCAGAAGAGATAGAGAAGGCGGTCTCGAGACTGATGGAT